TATTGAAGCGTATGTATTTTGGTTTTCTGAGATAAGGTCTTATGGGATCCTGAATATCCAGAAATACACTAGATAGGTGAGGGATAATCTTTAACTTCTAATCCTCCTGCCTCTACCGTCATGTGTTGGGATTATGGTCATGCACCACCAGCCTGTGCTTGGAAAATACCCCAGGTTCATGTTCTCTAGGCAGGTACCTAGGCCACATGGCCAGCTCCAACTCTGAATGTTTCATTAGTCTGAATCTGAGGAGTTGACATGCCTGGAGCCTATGTATTGCCTATGGCTCTCTGTACTGTATGCCTGTTGATCTGTGTTTACCACTCTGATTGTAGTCACATCGAGGAAGCAATGAACTCCGCTGAGGATGGTCCCAGGACCTCCCCCCACCCCCCAACAGCAGTTGCTGTGCTGTGTCTATCATCACCCGCAACCTCCTGCCTCATATCAAACTTTGGAGTCAGACACGTTTTGTGTCACGTGCTTGCCTTCCTGTGGCAACCATATGGGGCTGGAGGTCTGGGTCATTATGCAGTGTATTACCCAGAACTCCTAAGTTTGCTCTTATTTAAAAAATAATAATAAAACAAAATAAAAAAGGACCCAGAGTCAGGCATGGTGGTGCTTGCCTATGATCCTAGCACTTGGAAGGTGGAAGCAGGGGGATCAGGAGTTCGGTCATCTGTGGGGTCTGGAGGGATGTCTCAGTAGTTAAGAACACTGGCTGCTCTTGTAAAAAAAAAAAAATAGGGTTTGGTTCCCAGCACCCACAGGGTAGCTTACAACTGTCTGTAATTCCAGTTCTAGGGAGTCTGACTTTCTTCTGACCTTCATAGATACCAGGCTCATATATGTTGTGTGTAAGTTCACATAGGCACACATATACACATAAAATAAAGTAAATACTTTAAAAAAAATTAAAAAGCTTGGTGGTATATACCTTAATTCCAGCACTCAGGAGGCAGAGGCAAATGTGAGTTCAAGGCCAGCCTGATCCACAGAGCAAATTCTAGGACAGCCAAGGCTACATAAAGAAACCCTTTCTCGAAAAACAAACAACCTCCCTCTCCAAAAAGAAGTTAGCTATCTTTAACTATAGAGCAAGTTCAAGGTCAGCCTAGACTACAGAGTGAGTTTTGATCTAGCCTAGACAAAGGTCATCCTGATCTATGTAGTCGGTTTGAGGCTAGCCTAAACTATATGAGACCTTATCTCAAAGGAAGAGATTCAGAGCCCATTCTGATAGTACCTACCTTTAGTCCCAGCCTCTGAATGATGGGGCTAAAGGCATGAACCAAGGTCAGTCTGATGTATATAGCAAGTTCAAAGATAGTCTCAACCTCTCCCTTCCAAAAAGAAGAAATTAATTAAATACTCTTGTAAGGGGTATTGGAACCACAAATGAATATGGTGGGTCTCTGTCACTATAGTTTTATTGTTTGCTTATTTTACTTATTGTGTATGTGCCTGTGTATGTGTGCATGTGTACATGGTTGTACACAAGTTTACCACAGCATATGTGTGGAGGTCAGAGAACAACTCTCCGAGTTAAGTTTCTCCTACCACCTTCTGGGATCCAGGGATCTCAGATTGTCAAGTCTGCATGCAATCACCTCCATCTGCTGAGCCATGGTTCAGTTGACTCTAAAAACTGTGGCCAGATCTCCATGAGTTCAAGATTACCCTGGTCTATATAGTAAGTTATAGGTCAGCCAGGTTACATAATGAGGCTCTTTTCTTAAAAAACAAAATGAAACACTTCTTTTGCTTATTAATATGATGTGTGTGTGTGTGTGTGTGTGGTCCTTGTGTGAGCTGGGATACACACATGCCCATGGCATGCATGTCGAGGTATAAGGACAGTTTTTAAGATGTCAGAGTTACCTCTTTCCACACTAGGAACTGGAACAGAACTCGAGTCACCTGGATTGTGAGACCAGAGCGTTTACCCACTGAGCACTCCTGCTCATGCCCGGAATTCTTTTCACCTTCCACTTATAGGTGCAGATGGGGAAACTGAGGTCAGGTTAAGCAAGCCACAGGTTGCACAGTGAAGCCTGCAACTGAGCCAGGGTTTGGTCTGTGCCCAGTCTTTGAGACAGTGTGTCTCTTTGTTGATCCCAGCTCTTGCTTCTTCTCTTGACTGCCCCCAGCTCCATGTGCAGGAAGCTGCCGGCAACCACCTGAACCCTGAGCCCAGCCAGCCTGCCCCCAGCGTGGACCTGGACTTCCTAGAAGATGACATCTTGGGCTCCCCTGCAGCAGGTGGAGGGGGCGGTGGGGGCCCAGACCAGCCCTGTGACATTCTTCAGCAGAGTCTTCAGGAAGCCAACATCACAGAACAGACCCTGGAGGCTGAGGCTGAACTGGACCTGGGCCCCTTCCAGCTGCCCACCTTACAGCCCGCTGACAATGGGGCAGGTGCTACTGGAGCTGCAGGAGCCGCTGCAGTGACTGCAGGACCCCAGGCTCTCTTCCCAGGCAGTGCGGATCTGCTAGGGCTGCAAGCTCCACCCACTGTACTGACCCACCAGGCCCTGGTGCCACCCCAGGATGTGGTCAACAAGGCCCTGAGTGTCCAGCCCTTCCTGCAGCCTGTGGGCCTGGGCAATGTGACCCTTCAGCCCATTCAAGGCCTCCAGGGCCTTCCCAATGGCAGTCCTGGGAGTGCTACAGCAGCCACCTTGGGTCTGGCACCTATTCAAGTGGTGGGCCAGCCCGTCATGACTCTCAACCCACCCACCTCCCAGCTCTTGGCAAAGCAGGTGCCTGTCAGTGGTTACCTGGCCTCAGCAGCTGGTCCTTCAGAGCCAGTGACACTGGCATCTGCCGGCGTGTCCCCCCAGGGAGCCGGCCTGGTCATCCAGAAAAATCTTCCAGCCGCAGTGACCACCACACTCAACGGGAACTCAGTGTTTGCCGGGACAGGGGCTGCCACTGCAGCAGCCAGTGGAGCATCCTCGGGACAGCCGCTGGCGGTGGCCCCGGGCCTTGGGACGTCACCACTTGTACAAGCACCCAGTGTGATTTTACACAGAACCCCTACGCCCATCCAGCCCAAGCCTGCGGGGGTACTGCCCCCCAAACTCTACCAGCTGACACCCAAGCCCTTCACCCCCGCGGGAGCCACCCTTACCATCCAGGGTGAGCCAGGCACCTTGCCCCAGCAGCCTAAGGCCCCCCAGAACCTGACTTTTATGGCCGCAGGCAAAGCTGGCCAGAATGTGGTGCTGTCTAGCTTCCCGGCACCGGCTCTACAGGCGAATGTATTCAAGCAGCCACCGGTCACCACCACGGGGACAGCCCCACCACAGCCACCCGGGACCCTCAGCAAACCCATGAGTGTCCACCTCCTCAATCAAGGCAGCAGCATCGTGATCCCAGCCCAGCACATGCTGCCTGGCCAGAACCAGTTCTTGCTGCCAGGCACCCCAGCCGTACAACTCCCCCAGTCGCTCTCTGCCCTGCCTGCCAACGTGGGAGGTCAGATCCTCACAGCCGCAACACCACATGCAGGTGGACAGCTCATTGCCAACCCCATCCTGACCAACCAGAACCTGACAGGCCCATTGAGTCTGGGCCCGGTGCTGGCACCCCACTCTGGGGCACACAGTGCTGCCCACATCCTCTCTGCAGCTCCCATTCAGGTGGGCCAGCCTGCCCTCTTCCAGATGCCTGTGTCGCTGGCCACTGGCAGCCTGCCCACTCAGAGTCAGCCAGCTCCCACTGGCCCCACAGCCACCACCGTCCTCCAGGGCGTCACCCTGCCTCCCAGTGCTGTGGCTATGCTTAACACACCTGATGGGCTAGTGCAGCCCTCCACCCCAGCTGCCACCACTGGGGAGGCCACACCTGTTCTGGCCGTTCAGCCTGCCACCCAGGTGCCCCCTGCTGTCACCACACCACTGCCCATGGGTCTCCAACAGCCACAGGCACAGCAGCCTCCACAGGCCCCTACTCCACAGGCGGCCACCCAGCCTCAGGCCACCCCTCCTCAGGCCAGCCCAAGCCTGGCATCCAGCCCAGAGAAGATAGTCCTGGGGCAGGCGCCCCCTGCGGCCACAACGGCCATCCTCACTCAGGATTCCCTCCAGATGTTCCTGCCCCAGGTATGGGGGAGCGGTGAGGGAGGGGATGAGGTTGAGTGTCAAATAGCTGAGCCTAGGCAGTTAGTGGGGGCTTTCGGGGATGCTCATGAAATAGGGCAGACTGGTAGGCCAACTGACAGACTGGAAGGGGCATACTTGGTGATTTCACAGACACGGGAGAGTACCTTCGTGAGGATGTACGTACAGTATAGATGGGATGGTAAACGGTGGGTGGAATGATGGGTAGGCAGACAGATGGAACATGGAGGGTGGGCAGACAAAGGTTCCGGGGTCTGCCTGCCCTGCACCTCTTGTCTACTGTTCCCCATGAGATTGAGTGGGGGTGGCAGACTCAGATGGGAGCCCGTGGCCTCTAGGGGCCTTCTGACCCTGTGTGGGTGGCCCCTTGCAGGAGAGGAGCCAGCAGCCCCTCTCTACAGAGGGTCCCCACCTCTCGGTGCCTGCCTCCGTCATAGTCAGCGCCCCGCCTCCTGCCCAAGACCCAGCCCTGGCCGCGTCTGTCACCAAAGGAGCTGGCCTCGGCGCTCAGACTCCCGACAGCCAGGCTTCCCCAGCTCCGGCTCCCCAGGTAGATGCATCCTGGCAGCCTGGTCTCCTTATGCAGCTCCCCGCTCGCTCTGCCCTGCCTGCCTCTGTCTTGCTGTCTTGGGAAACACACTGTCCTTTGTTCTTCACGCTCATGTTCTCCGAATGTCTCCTAGCCACAGTGCACATTCGAGACCAGGGCCAGCCCTGGGAGAGTCCAGCTCTAGACAAGCACATTAAGTCACAAAGGGATGGGGAATGACCCAACTGTGTTGGGTAAAACAATTCCTTTACATTTCAAAACATACTAAAGTCAGACCTGATGGCACCTGTCTGTAACCAGCACTCGGGGGTGGAGTGGGGGTGGGGATAAGATCATAATATCAGCGTCATTCTGGGCTACATGAGACCCAGTCTCTAGAACAACCAGAAGAACCGTAGTGAAATCCTCAGCTCCTCCTGAACAAGACTCTTGCATTTCCTTTCCAATGTGGGTGCGAGCATGAGCACACATAGATGCGCTGTCTCCCAGTTTTATAAAATGCGGTGGAGTGCTGTGACTAGGCTCACACCTTGTGTCTATTGTTTAAACGACCTCAGTGGCTGCTTTTTTTTCTTGCACATGAACGAGTAGTAGACCATTGTGTGGGTATGCTATTTTTTAGCAAGTCCTTGTTGATGGGCTTCAAAAGTCGCTCCTGGTTTTCCCCTGTTATGAACAAGGCCATGGATAACAGCTTGATGTGGCATTTTGCAGCATAAATTATTTTGTGGTCTGAGGTTTGAACTGAGAATTTTGTGCATGCTAGGTAGGCATTCTGCCACTGAGCCACGCCCCCAGCCCCTCACTGGGGGATTCTAGGCAGGGGCTCTACCACTGAGCCACACCCACAGCCCCTCACTGGGGGATTCTAGGCAGGGGCTCTACCACTGAGCCATACCCACAACCCCTCACTGGGGGACTCTGGGCAGGGCGCTACCACTGAGCCACGCCCCCAGCCCCTCAATTTGAGACAGAGTCAACTTGCTAAATTGACCAGGTAAGCCTTTAATTTGTGGTCCTTCTGCCTCAGTGTCCCATGTTGCTGGACTCACAAGTGTATTCTACCACACATAACTTGGAATGAGTTCTTTAAACTGAATTTTCTGGGTCTTTAAAAGATGCACAGCTTTATGTTGTAACGTTATCTCCAAGCTGCTTTGTGGTTTAGCTTTGTCAGCGGTGTAGCTTGCTCCTGTCTTCTCCTGGCCTCGCTAGTGTATTTGAAGTGAGTGGCCAGTGTGACAGTTGTAAAAGAAGTGCCTTGTATTGATTTTTAAGTTGTGTTTCTTTTTATTGTCAATGAACTGGGTCAAATTTTTATACATTTGAGAGCTATTTGTTCTATGAAACCTTTTCTATCCCTTGCCATTTTGCAGTGAGGGTTCCTGGTCCATCTCTTGTGAATTTGTGGACACGCTCTAGATGCGAGGAAAGTGGGCCTTCAGATCATAGGTTGGCAAGGGTACGGATGGCAGAGTCAGTGTGGGCTTGGCCCCTGGACACCATGATTTCACATATAGATTGCCTGTCCTGTTTTCTTCTGTCTAGATTGAGGGTGAGGAAGAGGGCATAGGTTGAACTGGTGAGCTAATGTGTGAGGAGTTTGCTTGTATCTGCTGTAATCTGGTGTGTGTAACTCCATGTGGGTGTGTGCACTCCAGTCTGAGGGATTGGATCCCTGGAGCTGGCGCTACAGACAGTTGTGAGCCACCTGATGGAACAACCTAGGAACAGAACCTGGATCCTCTAGGCAAGCAGCAGTGCTCTTCACCACTGAGCCAGCTGTCCAGCTCTGTCTTTCTGTATTGTTTAAATGCTGGCCCCAACCCGTGAATGTCCCTAGCTGGCAGTGCATGTAATTGACAAGCCTTGGTCTGAGGGAATTGAGGAGTGTTGGGGAGAGGAGCGCTCTGGCGTCTGCCAGCACCACTTCTGGGCCCTGTGTAACTTGCTTATTTCTCTTTGCATCAGTTTCCTTACCGCTCAGGTGAGGATGACAGTTATAGCAGCTACTTTACAGAGTTACGACATGTGCACCAACTCATCTATCTGTGAGGTTTTTGTTGGTTTGTTTTTTGTTTTTTCCTCCCCTGAGACAGGTTTCTCTGTGTAGCTTGGCTGTCCTGGAACTCACTCTAGACCAGGCTTGGCCTCTGAGAGCTAGGATTAAAGGAGTGTGCCACTGGTGCTCAGCTTACTTGCTAGTTTTCTGTATGCTGTGTTCTTAACACCAGGCCTGACCACCACTGAGACAGCTCTTAACCAAAAGGAGCCAGGCAGCTAATTGTAGGGTGCATACCTGCAAGCCTGCCTGTCCCCTTGGGAGTCAAAGGCAAGAAGACTCAGGGTTCAAGGTCATCCTGGACTTCAGAGTGAGTTCCAGTTTAGCCTGCAGGACATGAGACTTAGCAGTCATGGCTCCAGCCTTGAATCCCAGCACCTAGATGGCAGAGGGAGGCAGAGTTCTGAGTTCAAGACCAACCTGATCTATATAGTGAGTTCTAAGCCAGCCTGGACTACATGAGACCTTTTTTGGGGGGGAGGGGGTTTCGAGACAGGGTTTCTCTGTATAGCCCTGGCTGTCCTGGAACTCACTCTGTAGACCAGGCTGGCCTCGAACTCAGAAATCCACCTGCCTCTGCCTCCCAAGTGCTGAGATTAAAGGCATGTGCCACCACCGCCCGCTACATGAGACTCTTGTCTCAAATCAAGAAATAAGGTGTCAGGCAGGGCTGCAGTCATGTGAAGACTTGTTGAGGCTGGTGAACCTGTCTCCCAGCTCGGCCTGTGTGGGCGTCTGAAGGGACAGGTCACAGCAAGCTGTGATTCCCTTCCCCACAGCATATGAGTATCGAGAACCATCTCTGGGTGGGAGTTGAAGCCTGCTTATGGCATAGTCTCAGAAGAGACGTATGTTCATTTCTGGGGAGTTCCTGGTCACAGAAACTAATCCTGGGGTGGGGGTTAAATATAGGTAGTGGCAAAGGTGGGGGTATTTTAGAATCTGACAGTGAGTTTTTTTCTACTGGACTTATTTTTATTTTTTATGTGTATGGGTGTTTCTGCCTGCATGGATGTATGTTCACCACTTGTATCCCTGGTGACCACAGAGGCCAGAAAAGAGTGTCGATCCCCTGGGACTAGAGACAAGCGTGGGCTGCTGTGTAGGTACTGAGAATCAAACCTTAGTCCTCTGGAAGAACAGCCAGTGCTCTTAAACACTGAGCTACCTCGCCAGCCACTGTCATTCTTTCTTCTCCCCGTGCCATACAGGGATGGCGTGGGATTTGTTGATCTGCCTGCCTATCTTCCTGTCAGTGTTTGCTTTTTTTTTTTTTTTTGTATGAACTCTGTTTTTTTCCTACTTGGATCCTTTGAGACGAGGTTGTGCATGTTACTTCCTGCTCCATAAGATTGTAAAATCTAATCCTAAGATTTTTAGTGCAGCATGTAGTATTGTACATCTAGAATTGAAGCGTTTTTCGGAGGCTGAGGCAAGAGATTGCTGGAAGTGAGAGGCTAGTTATATAGTGAGACCCATCTCAAAAACAAACAAACAAACAAAAAATCTACATTGTACTGTTAGCAAAGCTAGCAAATTTAGTGTGTACATGGGACTGCTACCTGATCTAGTTTTGTACTCCACTTGATACATTTTAAATTTCTTCTTAAATTTATTTTGTGTGTGCATAATTAGAGAGCCTGTGTACCTACAAAGGTTAGAGTCTGTTCTCTTTTCCCACTATGTAGATTCCAAGATTTGAACTTGGGTCTTTAGGCTTGTGGACAGGCTAAACCATCTACCCCACATTCAGAAACTTGTTTGAACACTTGCTCTGGCAAAGTCTTGTTTTATGTAGCTCTTTCGCGCCCCCGTGTGGTCATTCATTGGAAAGGCATTTAGGGTAATAGAACTGGACTTTTCTTGGGCATCAGAACACCAATTTGCTCTTTTACACTGGGTTCTACTGTGGTTTTTCTATAAAATAAGTGGATATCCCTGTGAGCAAGGGTGGGGTTTTTTGTCTGTCTTCCTTCCTTTCATTCATTCAAGATTTATTTTATATGCATAGGTATTTGCCCACATGTATATCTCCATGCACCACATACATAACCTGGTACCTGGTGCGCAGTGGAGTCAGAAGATGCTGTCCAGTCCCCTGGAACTGGAGTAAAGAAGGGTTGTGAGCCTCCGCATAGATGCTGGGACCTGAAACTGGGTCCTCAGGAAGAGCACCCAGTGCTCTTAACTGCTGAGCCATCTCTCCAGCCTTCTTTTTATTCTTTATTTTGAGACAGTATCTCAAATTTGCCTAGGCTAACTGTAAACTCACTCCGTAGCCCAGGTCGACCTTGCAATTCCTCTTCTTTATCTCTAACCCTGTTTTCTTCTCCATTTCCCTCCAGTGCTGAGCACAGAACCCAGGGCCATGTGCATTCTAAACACACACTCCTCCATCAGGTTACCATCTCAGACCCTTTTCATAAATAATTCTGTTGCTTTTGCTGATGTCTGTGTGGGTTTGGTCCCTTAAGTGGGTTTGCCTAAGACTACTTGAGATGTCGAGTACACAGAGCCGCACTTAACAGGTGGTTGTGAACTGCCCGGCTTGGGTGTTGAGCCCAGCTTGAGTTCTCTGGAAGAGTAACAAGCTCTCGTAACTGCTGAGCCATCTCTCCAGTCTCCCCTTTACTCTTTGGGGAAAAATTAAGCTGGACAGTGGTGGTACACACCTTTAACTCCAGCACTCAGGAGGCAGAAGCAGGTGGATTGCTGTGAGTTCCAGACCATCCTGGTCTACAGAGTGAGTTCTGGGACAACCAGAGGTACACAAAGAAACCCTGCTTTGATAAAAACAAAAACCAAAAAAAAAGGGGGGGGGAGGTGAAACATTGTATCGTTTGTGGGAAGATTTAGTAAACCAATCAAAAAATATTTATAAAGGGGACTCACAACAGTCATAACTTCAGTTCCAAGGGATCCAGTGCCCTCTTCTGGCCTCTGTGGGTTAGACATACAGGCAGGCAAAACAAATCTTTAAAGGGCATCAGGACATCTCTGCCTTGCCCTGCCCTGCCCTACTTTGTAGACTCGGGCTCTCAGATACTTCTGCTCCCCACCTTCCTTCTGCATCCCTACGCCCCTTTGAATTCTCTGTATTGCATAATCCTGGAGAAGCAACAACTAAGATAAAAGTCTCTTTTGTTTAGCTGAGGGTGACTTTGAACTCTCAACCCTCCTGTCCCAAGCTCCCAAGTGTCAGGATCCACTGTGCCCTTGAACTACTGTGCTGGGCTGATGTAGTGCTGGGGATCTAACCCAAGGCTTTGTGCATAGTAGGCAGACAGGCTACCAACTAAAGCACATTCCCAAGGACGTGAAGCTTTGAAATTCCCCCAGACCAGGCTGCCTTGTGCAGGCTTGTCAAGGGACAGTCCCTTTGCTCTGTTGGCAAGCCCAGAGCTGTTAATGTGCTCTCTGCTTGGAGCTGGCAGCGCTGCAGGGATGGGAGACTGGTTGCTTGTTCTAGTTTGTTACAGATATATTTTGCCTCTTAGTTGCCAGAAGTTAATCAGTGCTGAGCTTGGAAGGGTTGCTCAAAGTGTCCCAGACTTAGAGGTCAGATGCTCAGGTGCCTGACTCCATGGGGAGGTCCAGGCAGTAAAGCTAAGCTGCAGATTGCCTCTTTGTGTAGAGCCGAGATTCTCAACCTGTGGGTCGTGACCCCCTTGGAGTTGACCGACCCTTTCACTGAGGTCGCATGTCAGATATCCTGTATATCAGATATTTCCATTCATAACAGTAGCAAGATTACAGTCTCGATGTAGCAACAAGATAATTTTATGGCTGGGGGTCACCACTATAACATGAACTGTATTAGAGTCACAGCGTTAGGAAGGTTGAGAACCACTGACATAGAATAGGCATCCCCAGGCTCTCTGGTCTTGAGTCTTTGTGTGTGTGTCCATATGCGTGTGTCTGGGCATGTGCATGCCACAGACTCTATGTGGAGGTTAGAGGACAACTCATGGGACTTGGTTCACTCTTTCCACCGTGTGGGTTCTGGGGATCGAACTCAGGTCATTAGACTTGGGAGCCAGCCTTTATCTGCTGAGCCATCTTGCCAGCCCATGATCCTGGATCTCACACACAAGAGCTTCCCATCGGTGGGTAGTCTTGTGAGGCTATGAGCAGGGCTTGAGCCCTATGAGGACGCTCAGTCCAAGCCGTGCCTCTCCCTGGTGGAGACTCCCTCTCCCTCCGCAGCTGTCAGTTCTGCCCACTTACCTGTGAGGTAGGTGAGGGCAAGCCACACTGCGAGACGTCCCATTAGCCAGTGCTGGTGGCCTGCTCCGTGCTGCGGGTCACTGTCCAGATGCTGGCCCAGTCTTGGAGCTGGCACTCACTGGTTGCATAGTGCCTGTTAAGGTCATGACTTGAAGATGACAGTTCCAAAGGGTCAGCCTGTGGCCAAGGCCTGTGTGGGAAAAAGGATGCAGGCTAAGTGTTATGGCTGTTGGCCCAGGCACCATGTGGAACACACACACACACACACACACACACACATATACATGCAGCTGGGACCGTGGGCACACCGAGACAGGCAAAAGAGCCCAGGTCTAAGTGCAGTGCCCAGAACATCCACCCACACACTCCCATTTCCCATGGCTGGCCATCCCTATCGCCCTTTGTCCTTGCTCCCGGGTCAGAAAGCCTCCCACACTGGCCAGCAGCCACATGTCCTGAGTGGCGTCTGTGTAATGTCATGCAGGCACCTCCCTGTGCTACTCTTGCCTCCTGCTCGAAGCTTGTGGTGCCCCCGCCACCCCCAACGTCCCTGTCACTGCTTCCTCTGCTGCTGCGAACCCGCACACCCTGCAGGGCTTGCCTTCGTCTGCTGGGTGGGGGTGCACATGGGGCCTTACAGGGAACATCAGAGGGTAGACTGGGGGGTGGGGGGCGGGTAGCATTTGGGAACAGAGGTGTGAGTTAAGGGTGCAGGGGTGGCCGGGTGAGCTAGGAAAGATGAACGGTTGTAGTGGGATCCTGCCTCAGGCAGGACTGGGACAGGCAGGGACTGGGGGCTTTGGGTGGGATGATTGAAGTCTGGGTGAAGGGTAGCTGGGGTTACAGTGTCTTGAGAAAATAGAAGCCCAGGGTAATATGAGCCTGACTCTGCCTCTACCTCCCTCTTCTACACAGATCCCTGCAGCTGCTCCACTGAAAGCCCCTGGCCCCGCCTCCTCCCCCTCACTACCTCACCAGGCCCCCCTGGGAGACAGTCCCCACATGCCCTCCCCACATCCTGCCAGGCCCCCTTCCCGCCCACCTTCGAGACCCCACTCACGCCCTCCATCCCAGCCCCAGAGCCTGACCTGCCCACCCTCGGAGCCCACCCTGCACCCTTGCCCTCCACCCCAGGGTCCCCCAGCCCTACCTGGCATCTTTGTCATCCAGAATCAATTGAGTGCCCCACCACCAGCCAGCACCCCAGTCCCCACAGCCCCAGGCCCACCCCAGCCCCCTCTGCGACCCCCGTCCCAGCCTCCCGAGGGCCCACTGCCCCCAGCCTCCCACCTCCCTCCTGCCTCCACCCCCTCTGCTGTGGCCTCCTCCTCTGAGCCTTCTACCAGGTTGCCAGTCCCCACACCCCCTGACTTCCAGCTCCAGTTCCCACCAGGTCAGGGACCCCATAAATCCCCTACTCCACCACCAGCCCTCCACATGGTCCCTGAGCCCACAGCACCCCCTCCTCCACCACCTCGGACCTTCCAGATGGTAACTGCCCCCTTCCCAGCACTGCCCCAGCCAAAAGCACTTCTGGAACGATTCCACCAGGTAACCATCAGCAGGGACACCTAACTCCCCTACCTCCCAAAACTGGCCCCTTGCCTTTCCCGCCTTGCCTACTGTGTGTCCACACCCCTCCCTAAGTGCATCTGGCCACCCCACTGTGATCCCATGTCCCACCCCTCAACTACCTGCCCTTCCTCAGGTGCCGTCTGGGATTATTCTCCAGAATAAGGCTGGGGGTACTTCCACCACCCCACAGACAGCCACCACCCTGGGGACCCTCACGAGCCCTACTGCCTCTGTGCTCGTCAGTGGGCAGGCACCACCTGGGACTCCTGCCGCCTCTAGCCATGCCCCAGCCTCCACACCTATGGCCACCACAGGTAGGGTGAGGAGCCTGCCGAGGCAAAGGGGTCGGGTAGAACTGTGTACCAGAGCCCAGGGTGTCACCTGCCCTCCCGGTACCAACAGGTAGAGGAAGGAGGGTGGACTGCCCAGGTCTCAGGAATGAGGCATTGGCGGGAGAACTGTGGGATGGGAAGGGGGTTCACAATGGAAAGACTGGTGACCCCTGAGCCCTCTCCTTCCCTCACCCCACCCCAGGCCACCCTCCTCTACTTCCTGCCGAAAACAAAGCTTTTGCCAGCAACCTTCCAACACTGAGTGTGGCCAAAGCTACTGTGTCTGGGCCAGGGAAGCCCCCCGCGATGCAGGTAAGTAAAGAACCTCGAAACAACTAGGGATCGAAGAATGAACTGGCAGGAGAGAGGTGAAGATAGAACACTGGGCAGGGGCAGCTAAGATGGTAGAAGAGCTAGCTAGGAGCAGGGGTGTGTGGATCTCTGTAGGGCCAGAGGTGAACCACCAGTACAGCAGTTTAAACGTGAGATAGAACCATGGATTAGTGTTAGAGCCTCTGCCCAGAATCCCCAGTGAAGGGCTGGG